ACTGATCTCTTGTATCAGTTCTTAAAACAACATTGCCCTCAGAATACACTGATACACTGATCTCTTGTATCAGTTCTTAAAACAACATTGCCCTCAGAATACACTGATACACTGATCTCTTGTATCAGTTCTTAAAACAACATTGCCCTCAGAATACACTGATACACTGATCTCTTGTATCAGTTCTTAAAACAACATTGCCCTCAGAATCTTTACCCTATTGTGTATGTACAACATTTTCTATAAATGTTTTTTCCCCCTTTCTTAGCTCCACCGGTTTCTGAGCAGAGTCTCGTTTAATAACAGTGCTGGGGAAAAGGTTGCCTTCAATCAAGATGGGGAGTTACTAGCTGGATTTGATATTATAAACTGGGTCACATTCCCAAACCAGTCCTTTCTAAGAGTGAAAGTTGGCAATATCGACCCCAAAGCTCCCTTAGACAAAGAGCTAACAATCAATGAAATGGCCATCATATGGCCCAGCAGGTTCAATCAGGTGGGGCCCGTGTTTTAAAGAAGTGTTAACATTTTTTTCAGGGTTCAAAAACCAGTCCAGTGTTCATACGCTGAACAGATATATTCCTATATATCGTCAATGAGTTTCAGTCCATGAAAGAACTGAAAATGTTTATCAGGTAAAATGTTTTCGTATTTAGGGATGATTTTGAATTTCTCCTCTGTCTGTCCATCTATCTGTCTATCTATCTAATATATACATAGCACATATAAATCAACTACATATAAAATCATAGAATATGCATACACACTGTGACCCTGTCTAAAAAATCAACAGCAAATTCCAGCAAGTTAAAATTTGATTAGAGGGGTTGTAGTTCAGTGGCAGAGTATCTGCTTGGCATGTAGAAGGTCCCAGGTTCAATCTCTGATATCTCCAATTAAAGGATCTGGTAGTAAGTGATGTGAAAGAACCTCTACTTGAGAACTTGGATAGCTGCTGCCAGTCTGAGCATACAAGACTGACTTTGATGGGCCAAAGGTCTGATTCAGTATAATGTAGTTTTCATGTGTTCCTCAAGTTTGCAGTTCCTATTCATTTTGATTCTGTATAGGCAAAACACAGTAAGGCTGCGGTCGCACACACTAAATAATCCCCTTTCAATCCACTTTCAGTGCACTTTCCATCTGGATTTTACTGTGTGAACTGGCAGAATCCAGTTGTAAAGTGCATTGAAAGTGGATTATTTAGTGTGTGTGACTGCAGCCTAGGAGTGGTAGGAGATTCTAATACTGCAGTGAATACCAAGTATCCAGTATTATGCTATGGCAGAAGGAACACAATTCATAACATTGGACTGGCCAGTGAAACGAAAATCCCAAAGTATATGTTCTGAATGCTAAAATATTCTTCTCTTTCCTTTATGGACAGACACTGCCCTTTTCCATATGTAATGATCCTTGCCTTCTGGGCTATAGTAGGACAAAGGCAGAAGGGAAGCCATTTTGCTGCTATGATTGTGTTCCATGTCCAGAAGGGAAGATTTCAGACCAGATGGGTAAGAGATGTTATACACAGAACATATGGAATATGTTAACGGTAATCTGGATCGTGAACATTTGAGAATAAAGATTCTTATTTCCTTAATGTTTTTTTTAAACTTAATGTTTACAAAAAAATTGATAAGAAAATGAAGTCTGACATACCCACTAAAGTGTGTGCATAGCATTTCCTGTGATGGAAAGAAACAGTGGTGGATTGGCCATTAGGGCCACCAGGAAAAGTCTCAGCAGGCTGGTGGACTAGCTCCCAGTTTTTGCTGTTCAAGCAAAGTGCGCCACTTTCATTGATTTAGTTGAAATGCAATTATTGCAAGGTCTTACAGGACTACTTTTGCACACACTTTGAATGTGAATTTTTACAGATATAATTACACAAAGGTTTCCTTGCTCAAAAGCCAGTTAAATGGCCGACATGACTAGACGCCAAGGTGTACGGAATGCTGTTACCTTCCAACCTAAGTGGTACCTATTTATCTACTTGCAATTCCTTGTTTTCGAACTGATAGGTTGGCAGGAGCTGGGAACAGAGACGAGAGTTCACTGTCATGTGGCACTCGAGTCTTGAACTGCTTAACTACCGAGTAGAATGCAAATTCCCCTTTCAGATGTCAAAACCTTAACACTCATTCAAAGCTGATGTTTGATTATTGTAATGCACTGCAGGAAAGTCTGTCTTATATGGCAATCTACATTTTTTTTCAGACGTGGATTACTGTTCTCAATGTAAAGAAGGTCATTATCCAAACAATGACCAAGATTCATGCCTTCCAAAAGATATAAGCTTTCTGTCTTATGAAGAACCTTTAGGGGTCAGTTTAGCTATTTTTGCTCTTTCCTTTTCTTTCATCACAGCTTTGATGTTGGGAAGTTTTGTGAAGTACCAGAATACCCCCATTGTCAAAGCCAACAACCGGAGCCTCTCCTACATTCTCCTTGTCTCTCTCTTTCTGTGCTTTCTCTGTGCTTTGATCTTCCTTGGGAGACCTGAGAAAGTGACTTGCCTCATCCGTCAAACTGCATTTGGCATCATCTTCTCAGTGGCTGTTTCTTGTGTGTTGGCCAAAACCATCACCGTGATTCTAGCTTTCATGGCTACCAAGCCAGGGACCAGGATGAGGAAGTGGCTGGGGAGAAGACTGGCCAGCTCTATAGTAATTTCCTGCTCCCTCTTTCAAGCCACTATCTGTACTGTGTGGCTGGCAACTTTTCCTCCTTTCCCAGATTTTGATATGCACTCAGTAACTAGAGAAATCTTTGTGGGATGTAATGAAGGGTCAGTCATCATGTTCTTCTGTGTCCTGGGCTTTATGGGGTTCCTGGCTTTTGTGAGCTTCACTGTGGCTTTCCTAGCCAGGAAGTTACCAGATAGTTTCCATGAAACCAAATCCATCACCTTCAGCATGTTGGTCTTCTGCAGTGTGTGGATGACCTTTGTTCCAACCTACTTGAGCACCAAGGGGAAATACACGGTGGCTGTGGAAGTCTTCTCCATCTTGGCCTCTAGTGCTGGCTTATTGGGGTGCATCTTTTTCCCCAAATGCTACATTATTGTGCTGAGACCTGATCTGAACAAGAGAGAGCAACTAATAAAGAAAAAAAGGAAATAATATGTTAGTTGTTGTAGATTTTCTGGGCTGTATAGCTGTGGTCTTGGCAGTGTAGGACCTGATGTTTCACGAGCAGCTGTGGCTGGCATCCTTAGAGGTATAACACAGAAAGATGGAGTACTCTCTGTGTCAATGTGAGAAGAAAAATGGTAGGCAGTGAATGTATATCTACTCAGGAAGGTGGGGTAGGGCTGAGTCCTTATCTTGTAGGATTTCCCCAAGCTGTGACATGCTAATGGAGGAGCTTTCCTGAGGAGGTTCTTTTGCATATGGATTGGCTGCTGAAATTCTAATCTTATCTGTAGTGCTGTTGTAAAATGTAGATAACATAAAGATTATGTGTCTGCTTCTGTAGGAAGCTGTTAAGACCAATGTCAAGAGATTCTAAATCTTAACTCATTTCTTCCTCATTCTGTGCAATAAACTAATGGATTTGTTGATACAGCTCAGCACAAATGGTCTCCATTCCCCAAACTACCTGACTGCTCTGTCAGTGATGGGCTGATCTGGGAACAGGAATGGGAATGGTCCTTCATGCTAAAATGCCTCATGGAGCTCCCTAATCCCCTCCCCACAACAGACACCCTGTGAGGTAGGTGGGGCTGAGAGAGCTCTTTCAAGAACTGCTCTTTCAGTTAACTGTTAACTGCTCTTTCAAGAACAGCTCTGACAGAACTATGGCTTGCCCAAGGTCATCAAGCAGCTATAAGTGGAGGAGTGGGGAATCAAACCCGGTTCTCCCAGATTAGAGTCTGTGCACTTAACCACGACACCAAACTGGCTCTCCAGGAACAATGTGGAGCCAGGGACCCCAATTGTCAATCTTAAAATGTCCCCAAAAGTACTGCTCAGGCCCTTGAAAGCCACATTTTTCGACAGTGAGGTAAAGCAACTTACATTACAGTCTGCCGAGGAGAGGCAACATTGGCTTGAATAGCTGCTCCAAACACCCTCATCCACAAGGCAAAATCCATGAGGCAAAGATGGACATATCAAGAATTCACAGAAGGTTATTGATTTAGATTTTTTAAATTATATTGCTACATTTTTTTTTTTTAGTCATGGTGGGAAATTTTGCGTGTGTGCCTAGGACCCTCGGGCATTTCACCTGAATCACCAAACTGTCGTAGCTGATTATTTTTTTAGTTAGAGGGAAACACTGTTTATGTACATCATCCCGAGATGAACACACAAATACATGAAGCTGCCTTATACTAAATCACACCATCAGTCCATCAAGGTCAGTAGCGTCTACTCAGACTGGCAGTTGCTGTCAGGGTCTCAGACTGGCATTGGCTCTCAGGGTCTTTCACATAATCTACTACATGGTCTCTTTAACTGGAGATGCTGGGGGTTGAACCTGGGACCATCTGTTTGGCAAACAGAATATTTATCACTGAGCCATGGCCCCTCCAAAGTTCTGTTGTAGCTTTTCCTGCTATCCCATATATAGCTGTGTGAGAGAAGACCTATGATGGGGAAATTCTCAAGGATCTGAAATGAAGGGTTCAATAAAGACAGCGGACTTCAATAGAAAAGAGCTTATCAAGTAGTTTGAGCTACAGGGAGAGAAAACCTATCTAGACACTGAAAACAGGTTCTCCAAAACTCTAACAGACCCACCATGACTTATATAATATCATATTCTGTCTTCAGTTATCATGAAACGTATTCACTATGTTTACCAACTACATTTCTTATACACAGGGGTCATTTCGTAGAAAAAGAGGCGCAGGAGCTCATTAGCATAACTCATTAGCATAATTTATTTGCATATGCCACACCACCTGACATCACCAGAAGTGTGTCAGAAGGCAAAACCCACCGCTCTGGGGGGGGGAGGACGTGCAGATCTGTCCTCACAGAGGAGGGAGAGCTTGTACCTGAAGGTGGGCCGGGGGGGGTGCTCTGCAATTTACCCGGCTGCTTCTTGCTCCTCATGACCTGACTGAGGGCTGCTGGGAGCAGGGGGTGGGGCTTGATGCATGTGCCCGCCCCCTGGGCTCCTTACTGCTGGGGCTCCGCTCCTGTGCGTTCCCGCAGGAAATGACCCCTGCTTATACACATTGACACACATTCCAGAGCTTGGTTACGAAGGCAATCTAACTTAAACATAACAGGCACCTGTTCATGGCTCATGACCACCATGATACTGCCTATTTCTGAAACAATGGAGCATCCTGGGTTGCCAGGTTTCTGTATTTTGGGTAGGAGATAAAAGACATAAGGTCAAAGTTCCTGTAGTGTGTCTGAAATGATTTGTTCCTGAATATGTAGGGCTAATTCCTTTACAAGCTTTTGTATTCCTGGGTGGGATCTGAGAACAGTTGTTTGTAAAAAGTAGTATTTGAGAGTTGTCTTTTGCGTCCTGGATGTAGTCTGATCTATCCATCCTAAACGTACCAAACAATCCATTGTATACAGCCAGGCTTCACGCTACAGCCACATCTGTTCCAGTCCTATAGACAGAGATTCTGACCTGAGGGATCTACAACAAACCTTTTTGGAACTAAAATGTCCACCTGATGAAGTCAAGAAACAGATTAACAAAGCCAGAGAAAACCCAGATACCCAGAGACAACCTGTTGCAAGACAGGCCGCAAAGAGACAATAACAGGACACCATCAGTGGTCACAAACAGCTCTTGGCTCAAAACAGTTCAGTGCATCAACAGTGACATACAGCCTCTACTGAATAATGACAGTTCTCTTTCACAAGTACTGGTGGGCAAACCTTATCTTGCAAATTGATAGCCCCCCAAACTTAAACAACACCTCCCCCACAATAATGCAACATCTAATTTAAACATGGACACTGGTAACAGAGCTTGCAATAAACCCAGATGGCAACTTTGCTGTCACATACACCTAGAACACACAATAATTGGACCTAACAACATCAACTACACCATCTCAGGCTCATTCACTTGCTCATCTTCTAACAATGTATATGCCATTAAATTCCAACAATGTCCTTCAGTTCTCTACATAGGGCAAACAGGTCAAACTCTACGCTGAAGGATAAATGGACACAAATCTGAAATCAGGAATCACAAGACTGAAAAAACCTGTAGGAGAACATTCAGCATTCCAGGACATTCAATGGGGCACCTCAAAGTAGCTGTTTTATTGCAAAGGAGCTTCAGAAAAAGACTACAAGGGCTTTGGGGGGGGGGAAGCTACTGAGAGTTTTAATAAGGAAATGAAGTTTTCAATCTGTATACTGAAAACTCATAGACTTTTAAACATTTTTAAAAGAATTTTGTCAGTGGTTCCAAAACTCCATTCCAGCACATTCCCCCAGAAAAAAAGCCCTGCACAATGGCAGATTGCTGAGATACATGTTAACAATATTCAGGACCCCAAGTGTTTAACAGAGATATTGGTTTCTTATCTCACTACACATTCTAACATCATTCAGTTCTTGCATCTGTTTGTAAACTCCTTTATTATGCTGTATCCTAATTTGCTGCAATTCACAGGCCTTACCAATTTTCTTCCTCCAGTCATTTCCCCCCCCTCCAGTGGCCTTTTCTTGCTGAAGGCCACTATAGTTCTACGTATCTTTCCCTTGAGGCCCAAAGACATATCTTTATGGCACCCCAAAGATAGTTTAACCTACAAGGAGGGACATGTGGTTTCAATATGGTCAGGGGCCTGCCTACTTGAGAGACTGTCTTTCCCCACATGTGCCCCAGAGAGCACTGAGGTCAGGAACACAGAATCGCCTGACTCTTCCTGGCCCAAGAGACGTCAAGCCTTTTCAGTGGTGGCTCCATGCTGGTGGAATGAGCTCCCAGATAACATCAGGGCCCTGCGGACCTCTTACAGTTCTGCAGGGCCCGCAAAATGGAGCTGTTCTACCAGGCTTTCAATTAGGAGCCACCGCTGATGAATGGGCCACTGGCAAATGCACCACTGAAAAATGTGCCGCCGGATACATCTCGGCCTGCATGAAAATCGGTTGGTTATTGCCTCTGTTTGTATATTGCACACTGCCATCATCATTATTAGTACTGTTTAGTTACTCAGGCAGTTGTATTTATACCCTATTGTATTTTAATGTATTTATTGTTTTAGTGTTTTTAATGTTGTTAGCTGCCTTGATCCAGTCTTGTAGCAAGGCGGGATATAAATTGAAATAATAAATAAATAAATATGTACATAAGGTAGCTGTTAGCTAGTTAGCTAGTTTAATTCAGCATGTGATATGTAGCCTCTTTATTCCAGGGGATGGGTGGGTAATGCAAAAGAAAGCCAACTGCTTTCACAGTTCAGTCTGACAAAAAGAGAGACCCCCCGGCTTAAATAAGCATTGAAGAGGTGTACAAAATGCCAGGGAAATGCCACAATTATGAAAATACAAATTATTATTATAATACCATCAAAGACAATTGGTTATCACTATTATGGAAGAAACGTCAATCTCAATACAATCCAATAATCAAGGTGCAATATATAAGGCAAGGTAACGGAGATTCTGGATTTTCCTTTGTTTTGTGGGTAGACTTCCTCAGAGGTAAATTTTCTTAACTAAAAAATAATAAACATTTCATTTTATATAATTTTTCAATAAATGTATCATAGACCAAACCCAATATTGTAATTAATTATACAATAATAAAAGTGTACTGTTGCACAAATGTGTTATCCTATTCTTCCATTAACAGGTGTATCAATCCTACATATCTGAAATAACAATAAATACCAATAAATACAATAAATTCATAAACTGTACTTTTAAAAAAATTCTACATATTATATACACTAAACTTACAATCAGCAACTCACCATTTTATAATATGGAAATGATTTCTTCAATGCATTAACAACGGGCACCAGTCATCATTGTGATAGTATGATGCAGGATATAGGTCATACGATAGAATATTGGGCAAATACGTGGAAAAGGTTGAAGTATATGAGAGCATATAACTATAAAGAAAATATATTAAAAGTTTTCCATCGATGGTATTGGTCTCCCGATAAGATAGCCAATTGTAACCCATCAATATCTAATTTATGTTGGAAGTGTAAAGGGAATGTGGGGACGTTTTACCACATGTGGTGGCGACGTGCGAGAACAGAGAGGTATTGGAAAATGATACAGAAAATGATATCGGAAATACTGTCTGTTAATTTGATCTTAACTCCTGAAATAGCATTATTGAATATGTTACCGGAGGATTATAAGCAAAATGAGAAACACCTGTTAGCATATATATTAACAACCGCAAGGATTATGATGGCTAGATATTGGAAACAAGATAAATTCCCCACGAGAGAGGAAATACTTTGTAAACTGTTGGAGGTAGCGGAAATGGTCAAGTTGAGTTTGCTACTTCAAGGTAAAGAGGAAAGTATATTTAACGAAAGATGGAAAAGCCTGTATAACTGGATTAACAAAATATGGAAACTTAGACTCAATGTATAGAATGATGATTGTTTGTAAAGGATGGATTAAGTGGAAAATGATAAATAAATATTTTAAAAAACAACAACAGGCACCAGTCATTATTGTGAATGCTTTCCATTGCTAGAATGTCTCAAAGATACAATAGTAACGTGTTCATTATATAGGACACAGAGCTTTCCCCATTAAAGTACTTAAAGATAATGTCACATATTACAGAAAACAAGAAAAATCTATTTCATTATTCAAACCATGAGGATAAATAGTTTTCAATCGATGTATCCAGAAAGCCTTTTATCTAAGCAGCATTTTTAATGTCTAGTTTATTGTACAAATTATGATTAAAGACTTCCAAGACTACATACAAAAATTCATCAAAATTATGTTGATACTGCAAAAAGTGAGACACAAGGGGTGAGTCCATATTCTGTTGTCTAATACGGGACCTGTGTTCTATGATTACAATATTGGGTTTGGTCTAAGAAGAAGAAGAAGAAGAGATTGGATTTATACCCCACCCTTCACTACCCAAGGAAGTCTCAGAGCGGCTTACAAACTCCTTTACGTTCCCCTCCCCACAACAGACACCCTGTGAGGTAGGTGGGGCTGAGAGAGCTCTGACAGAAACGGCTCTTTTTCAAGAACAGCTGTGCCAGCACTATGGCTTGCTGAAGGTCATCCAGCAGGTGCAAGTGGAGGAGTGGGGAATCAAACCCGGTTCTCCCAGATGAGAGTCCGCACACTTAACCACTACACCAAACTTGCTCTCTGGATGGCCCGGCTCAAACTTCTCCTGCTCCTAATATTTGTTTTGTCATGTATGTGGAAGGTGCGGCCCTTTATGGGGTGTTCAAGGCAAGAGTCTATGATACATCTTCTGAAAATTATAAAAAATGAAATATTTATTATTTTTTAGTTAAGAAAATTTACTTCTGAGGAAGAAGAACCTTTGGCGCAGCTTTAAAGCCAAGCAGAGAAACATAGCCACCTTCTCTGTGATGTCCGGACTGAAATCTCTTAAAAGTCTATTCACCTTAAGTGCATCAAAACAAGCACCCATGCTGGTTAAAAGAGAGTGTAAGTAAGTGATCCTTAGGTCCATATACAAATTGCAGTGCAGGAGAACATGAGTGATAGATTCCACACATTTCAATCTGCAAGGGCAGTATCTGGCCCGATGAGAAACCTTGGTAAATCTACCAAATAAAAAAGTGGATGGCATAGCAGCTGTTTCTAGTATGTGGCACCCTTGCCTACTGCAAACCTTTTGGGAGGAGGGGTTTCTGGGCTTTTAGAACAAATTTTATTCTATTGTTTCTACAAAGCAGTGTTTTAACAGAGATTGATTCCTTGATTCATAAGAAAAGGTGGACTGTGAATATTCAAATAAATAATTAAGATGAATATGGCCTTGCTATGTGGAACCTTTTGTTGCTGTAGGTCATTGTTAGACCACATGCTGGGGAGGACTGGAGAAACTTCCACTGAGATGGGATAAACTTGTTTTCCTCTGCGGCATCACCAAAACTCTATAGCACAGAGTAGTTAATTATGTTCCCTGTAACTAAAACTAACCATCATTTATTCTAACTTCTCCAGATCCCTAAGGAATCCCCCTAGCAAATCTCCAATCTAAGATTGAAAATACGATTAATATCCTCTGTAATGTTCAGGGATGTGACTTAAAGGCAGAAAGGGCTCTGCCAGTTTTCTTGCTGATACTTTATATAGCCCATCCTACAAATCAGCCCAGAGATTCAGAGAGGCTGTGCAACAGCCTAGAGTTTCAGAGAGGCTCATACAACAAAGAGGGCACAGATGAAATGGTGCCCAGAAAGAAGGTCTCCATGCAAGATGCTGGTATTGGTGGGACTCTTCCTGACGTTGATGCATCTGGCTGTAGGCAAGGTTCCCCTTCTTAACTGCATGCCCAGTGATTCTCTTTCTATTCTTCACAAGTATTATCATTTAGGAGACCTCGTCATCGGTGGCATCATCTCTCAGATCTACATCACTTCTGAAGTTATAACATTTACAAGATATCCTCATCAGGAAGAGGTTGAGGAACTCATGTAAGGAGACATGAAATTCAATCAGGCTAGTCTTATGGGTTGGCTTTGGCTTTGCCTGGATGACAAATGACAGTCACTGAAGCTTTCTCCCCACCATTTAGCGTGTCTATCATCATCATCAACAACAACAACAGCAACAACAACTTGATTTATACCTCATCTTTCTTGCTTAGACTCAAGGTGGTTCAGATAATATAGATAGTTTCAGAGGGCAGCCATGTTGGTATGCAGTAGAAGAGCCAGATTTGAGTCCAACAGCACCTTGGAAGACAACAAGATTTTCAAGATATAAGCTTTTGAGAGGCAAAGCACCCTTTTGTCAGATGCTAGATCCATGATGAAGGGAGCTTTGACTCTTGAAAGCTTATAACCCCCAAAACATTGTTTGTCTCTAAGGTGCTAAATGATTCCAGTGATGTAAATATATCAGATGTGGTGCATCAGTCTATCTGGATTTCAAAAGTAAAAGACAATGTACTAAGAACTGGATAATATATATAATAAAAAATGGAATAAGCTACAATCCTGTTCCTTCTATTCAAAAAAGGCATCCTCTTGATTAATTCCCTTTGTGGAAATTATTGCAAATAGAGCTCTGCTCATACAACAAATCTTGTCTGCTTCCCCTTTCCTGTTACAGCTTGCTCTGCCCTCTCTGAAAAGAATCTTTACGAGTGTCTTGAGATGCAATGAAAGGGAGGACACTGTTGAACTTTCGATATGCTTTTGAGCAGAAGTGGGCTTCTGCTTGTGTAGAAAGGGGTTGTTGATCACTAGAAGTAGTTGAAGCACATTTTTCTTGCTTCCTGCAACCACTGATCCATAGTTCTGCTGGGTGACTAACTTGCTCCTTTCGCTGATTTAAGGGAGTAAAAGCCCAACAGAACTCCCACAGGCCATACGGTGGTGGTAAAAAGTGCCGTCAAGTAACAGCCGATTTATGGGTGACCCTGTAGGGTCTTCAGGGCAACAGACTCTCAGAGGTGGTTTGCCATTGCCTGCCTCTGTGTAGCAAACCTGGACTTCTTCGGTGGTCTGCCATCCAAGTGTTGGAAGTTCCAGGTGCGATGTCCCTGCCTCAGCCTCCAGATTTCGTGGCAAGAGAGACTAGATAGCTAGATAGGCACACTGACCTTTCTTTGTGTGTTTACTCTTCTGCCATTATTCGCTTTGATATGTAGATTGGGTTCGCAGGGACAATTTCCATCCTTCTGTTCATTCTCTCAGATGATGATGAACTCTCTCCCTGCATACACCAAGAGGGGGGACATGCTATCCTCTCTTGGAGCCATGAGGCAGATGACCCTCTCGATATTTGCTTCCATCCTTAACAAGTTAGTACTATGTCCTGTCTCTACTCTTTCCTATCCAAAAGTTTACGTCTCAAATAAAGAGATAAGCATTTCTCTATTAAACTTGCAATCTGGCTCTGTGTAGCTTTGTAAGCTGAATAACCTGGTAAAGTAACACTGGTCCCAGTCACGAGTGAGATAATCTGGGGGTGAAGCGAGGCTTTTTGCTCTGGAGAAAAATTAACCATGGTATTATGATCAGACATTTCCCCAGAGGCTCCATGCTTAGGCCATCAACCGCGATACCACGTTGATGGTGAAGTGTGGAAAAGGGTGATTTTTTGTCAGCAGAACCGCATTTGTGCACATGTGTAGTTCTGTGTTTGTGCGCATACCACTGGATGTGATGGGATACCAGCACTTCTGTGACCAGACGCCCACCCAGTCCCCACGTTTTCCAGAAAATAGTGCACTTTCCCTGGTATCTTTTAACTCTGCTTCTTCGGCTGGGTGATACGGGTTGCTGACGAGTGTGGGACACATGCCAGATGTTTTCATGTGATCGCACCCTTAAAATCCGTTCGGCATTCATCCTTATTGTGCGGCTAATTCTGCATGTGACCGGGACCACTGTTGTGTTTCTAGTTTTATTTAAAGCATTCTGCTAACTAGTGGGAACTGGACTAACCACACCAGTTAACCCCATTACTAAGTACTAACAGGGGCTACCCTGCTTAGTTTACAAGATATGGTTGAGACAGGACTAGCCTGGGCCACATAATGACTAGCAGGCCACATAGTGAACTGAAATATAGTGACTATTACAAGATGTGGCTCAGGAAGAGACAATATTGTAGTTTGCAGGTGATGCAGCATGTCATCCTGTTGCAGGTTAATAACTCAAAACTACCAACACATCCTGTCCTTGGCTTTTGCTGCTAAAGAGATAAATGAAAATACATATATTTTACCCAACATCACCCTGGGATTCCACATCAATAATAATTATTTCAGTGCAAGGTATACCTACCTTGCTGCAATAGACCTTCTCTCTACATGGAGCAAATTAATCCCTAACTACAAGTGTGGCATCCAGAACACTCCAATAGCAGTCATTGGGGGACCATCTTCTGACACTGATCTCCATATGGCCACCATCCTAAGCAACTACAAATTTCCCCAGGTAAGGTGGGCCCATAAAGTACTGGTAGTAAAATCCTAAACAGAGTTACTTCAGTCTAAGCACACTGACATCAATGGTCTTAGATGAGGAAACCTGCATGCTCTATCATGGAGTTATGCTTCCCATCAACGTTAATAAATAAATGAATAAGTATTATAGTTTTTCTTATGTGCAGCCAATTCTATGAGAATGGACAGGATCTCTCACAGCAAATTAAGATTTCAATGTGCATGGCCATTCATCCACACTATTTTAAATTTTAGAAATAGATCTCTCTTCTCCTCTCCTCTCCTTTCTTTACTTCCTTCTAGCTCACATACGGTTCTCCTTCAGTGATGAACAACAAAAGACAGTCTGTTTTCTTCCGATGGATGTTCCCAAATAGGAACCATCTTTATATGGGGATTCTCCAGTTACTGCTGCATTTCAAGTGGACATGGATTGGGGTGATTTATCTGCATGTCCAGAGTGCAGAGGAGTTTGTACAGAGTGCACTTCCTATCTTTTCCCAGAAAGGTATCTGCTTTGACTTCACAGAGAGATTCCCCAAAATAGATTTTTCAAATAATATCATTGAAGTGATGGAGAAGGGGACGCACTTATACAATAAAGCCATGAGAAGCACCGCCAATGTGCTAGTGGTCCACGGTGAAATCCAAAGCATGATGATTTTGAGAATGTTGCTACGTATGTCAAAATTTGAGAGCAGACCAGTGAAGGAAAAAATCTGGATTATGACGGCTCAGATGGAATTCACATCCCTTTCTTTTCAAAGAGACTGGGACTTAGACTTCATCCATGGTGCTGTATCCTTTGCCGTCCACTCAGAGAAGATGCTGGGATTCCAGGAATTCCTTCAGAGGAGAAACCCTCGACTGCAAAAAGAAGATGGCTTTATCAAGGACTTCTGGAAGGATACATTTAAGTGCTGGTTCCACGACTCTGAGGAAGATACGAAGATCTGTACTGGCGAGGAGAACCTGGAGACTCTTCCTGGGTCCCTCTTTGAAACCAGCATGACAGGCCACAGCTACAGTGTTTACAATGCCATCTATGCTGTGGCGCATGCAGTGCATGCCATGCTATCATCCAAACTCAGACCAGCAAAAGTAGTGGATGGAGGGACCTGGAAGCTAAATCAGCCACCATGGCAGGTACTGCAGGATAGTTCAGCCAACTGTGGGGACAACCCCGGACACTCTCCTAGTTAGTGTGCCTGAGGAGAATTCCATTGCCTAGATATTCTTCATCTGCTTGAAATTTAAATCAAGAACACTGTGAATTTATACATCAGTTTGTTTCTACCCAGTCTGGATTTATTTCATTGAGGGCCCTGCATTTTTAATAATAACTTCTAGGGCTGATGTGAAAGTGGGCTGTTTTCAAGAGAACTTTGGGCGAGAGCAAATCATAACTTCTTTTGAGTTATTTTTTGTACTGATAAAAAGGAGAAAGAGTACAACAAGGTGGGATGTGGGCAGCGTGATGTAGGATCATTGGTTTTATTAGATGACAGTTGGGTTCATTTCCCCCCGGTGGCATCATAATAGATTTCCTGACTGAGTTGGGTTACCAGCAGAAATGAGACAAGGCACCTAACAGTGGTATGAAAGCAGCTGAGAATAAAACACCTGATGTCAACAGCCATGAGTAGCATGTTAGCCATAGTCCTCAAATATAAGGCATGATTCTCTATCTCCATCTGTCTTGTCTCTCTCTCTTTGCATTTGATGAGTGGCGTGGACTTACCCCTGCACAGCCATTTGTGGAATGGGGGAGGGTGAGGCATGGATGTCTGGTAGCACCATGCTGCCCAAAGACTTGAAGGGGTTGGGATCAGCTGCAGCTTTGGCAATGTTGCATTGGGATGGATCTTTGGGGGGGGAGCCCTGACTGTATGCTCACCTTCCCCAGTTTGAGGACTCCCTTCAGGGGTCTTGGGGTGGAGTCACTTAGCCAAATGTCCAGCTCAGGAGCTACAGGTTGGCTTCACCTCTAGGTGGAAGGGGACCATGCAGCAGCTGATGCCCACATGGATCCCAAGGTCTTGCCATTCTACGGTGTCATCCCCTAACAGACAGGTTGTGGGATTGTGGTTATTGAGCAGCAGATGGGTCGCCTGATGCTGTATCTTTCCCCATGCTGTCATAATGCTCCTTCAGCTCTATCCAATCAAAGCTGTGGCCAGGTTTTCACCAATTTCTGGGTCTGTTTGAGTTCCTTCTGCTGCATTGTCCTCCTATCACCCCTGAGCCCACAAATTTATATTCTTATGAATTTATTTATGTGTTTCTCTTTAGCTCCACCATTTTCTGAGAAGCATCTCATTTAACAACAGTGTTGGGGAAGAGATTTCCTTTGATCCAAATGGGGAACTGGTAGCTGGATTTGATATTATCAACTGGGTCACATTCCCAAACCAGTCCTTTCTTAGGGTCAAAGTTGGAAGGATAGACCCAAAAGCTCCTCCTGATAAAACACTCAACATTTGTCAGGATGTCATCGTGTGGCCAAGCAAGTTTAATCAGGTAGGGGCCGTAGCTATTTCAGGACATCTCTAGTTATTCCCCCAGCATTTGAGAAGTCGTTCTTCATTCAATGCACTGTCCCTGTTTTAAAGCAAGGCTCAACTGAAATACAGTTTCTAACCTCCAGTTTAACTTGCTGAATCTTTGAAGGCATAGTGTTCTATTTTGTACACATTCATTAAAATGCTGATACCCAGTTTTTTCAAACTCAGGATGGCTTATCACACTTCAAAAACATCACTGAAAGAGCAAAGATCAAACAGACAAGGCAGGAAGTTCTAGTTAAAAATTACAAGGGAGGTTAGACAAAGGCCCAGAAAATAATGCAGATCTGGAGTCAGGCTCTGCCTCTGGTGGTCAGACATTTTTTATCTGACAATGGGGATAACACAGACAAAGGCCTTTAAAGAAGACTGCTATGAAAGAAGATGGATCCCATGCAGGGTTTTAGCACCTGATTCAGCCCCAGTTACAAACATTTAACCACTACCCAATCCAAAGGCCACAAGCAAAAACAAACAAACAGTACAACATACAAAATGATGAAGAACAAGAAATGGTATCAAAAGGCAGAAAATTATGTCAAACAACATAGTGCACTAAGTATCATTATAGTCAGTATAGATGCCATGAATTTATATGCTGTGAGCACAAGACCGCAGTAAGGGCAGTATGAGTAACCCCTAAAGATGATACCAGTATGCTGTTCTAGAAGTAACTCCAAAATAGTTTGATCTGAAAGACACAATCTCCAAAAC